CTTTTAGAGCAGCATCACTCGTCTGATTCGCTGCGGCTCAAATCAGCTACTCTCAACATTAATTTGTCGTCTACAACAAACTCGGACTGGTCGAGCTCTTCCATAAGCCCGCAATCCATTCTTCCACCTCGTCTCTCAGCTAGAACTTATCCGGGGAGGTTGAATAGCAGCTATTACATGTTTGAGAAATCGATACACTCCAAATTTGTGAGAACCGGGTTTTTGATGGATTCTTCGTCCGAATCATCCATGGAGTCGTCCGAGAATGAAGAAACTCCCTCAATATTTTCGGTTGGGTTGAATGAGGGAATAGTAAACGAACGGAGATTAACTGGCGTAGTTGGCGCAGGAACGCAAAGTTCGAATAATTTCGGTTTTGGATTTGAATGGCGAAATAAAGGGGAGAAGATAATTTTGGCCGATGATATAGTTGGGAAAGAGTTTAGCAAAATTCCATTTCCGAGACTTTGCGGTGCATCGTTTTCTCATTCAGGTAGAGAATCATTCTATTTTTTCACTTAATGTAGATAAATTTTCTTTATTGCAGGACGACTTGTTTGTTTTTTCTCTCAACTTCCTCACCCATCAACTGCAAAATTCACCGCTCTTACTTTGACTACGCGCAATCAACATCCCGTGTTTTATCCCCACCAGTTTAATTCCATGCCAAAGTCGTATCCGCTATTCGAAAGCTATATCAAATTCGTTGCTTCGACTATGCCCCATTCCTCACCTTCCCTTCGAACATCAAACAAAAATGATCCTCTTGTCAAGTCACAAGACATGTCGAATTTTTCGTCGCTCCCACTCAGCTCTTTCGGAAGCAAAGGTGAAATAAGTTGGCAGATTGAAGAAGACGACGAAGATCAATCTGATCCAGATTCTGGTTTAATTTCCAAGTCGACAGTACGTTATATTCTAATGATCAACTTTCTTTTTCTCATGGATTGTTTAATTAGCGATCAAGGTCCATTAACGCCGAGCTATCTGTTCAAGCGTGGTTTTCAGAGATACAAAAGTCTGCAATCCGTTTCAAAGACGACACATCCATCTCTGCGATTTTGCAGTCACGCAACTCGAGTTACCCGTCGAATCAAAAAGACTCTGCATCTAGTGCGGAAAAAACTAGACAATGGGTCTCTTCATCTGTATCTGAAGATTACGAGAAGCACTCTACAAACCAACGCAAAACTTACCGTGATCAAAAATATAACGACCAGCGTGACATTACGGAGAGTATTGTTGATATGATTAGTACCAGTGCGAGTAGCGCGTTTGACTCTGGAGACGACTCCGCCATGAAAGAAAAAAGCGTAATTGTTCATGAAATTGATGAAGCGAAGCGCTCAACAGCAAATGTAGACCAGCTCGACCACGCAACCATTCCGAGCAAAAATCAGTTTGTTCACTTGTATGATTGCAGTGATTTATTACCTGTTTCTCCTACACTGGCGGGAATGTATAGGTAATCAATTAAAGAACTTTTCACTTTTTCCAGACCAAATCATTTAGTAACGTGAAATTTAGTTTGAGCGGGGATCCAGCCGAAATTTGCAAGACGAATTTGAAATGCGCGGAAAAGATCGGAAGGAACGATTTAGTTTTGATTTGGAAACTTGCTGAGCTCGTTGTCACCAAATGTGCCCATTCGAATGAGCCCACTGGTAAAGATTTCAACAGCTTGCGATCGAAATACAGGAAAATGCGAAAGGAAAAGCATGGCTCAACCCTATCGGAGTCACCAGGTTCGACGGGTTCTGCCAGAGCTGATTGGGGTTGGCATCCTTTCGGTCGATACATTGTATATAATATGTAAGTTTTGAAGCTATCAGAATGAGTAAATAAACAAATTCCATTAGTTTGGAATACCTCGAAAAGTTGCGGGACGTTCAATCACTTGCGATGATGCTTTGCGTATTTGAAGAAGATCACATAAAGGTATTTCGATCTATATTCTTATCTTTAAGAATCCAACAGTTTCCGTACAGATTCCGTCCAGTGGTCAAACCAAAAACCGAATTGTGTATCAAGCTGATCAATCAACGGAAACCGTCGAGAAGAACAGGGAGACGAACCTAGTTGATGAACCATTCTACATCATTCAAAAATTTCTTTTTCCCCCAACAACACCAAATACGAAACTATCAAATACCCCGCAAAATCTAGCAATCAACATAATTAACAACATACCACTGACTGATTACGAAGAAGTATCAAACGTTCGATCAAACAATTTCGCAAAGTCGGATATTATGAAAGTATCCCTGATTCATCCCCATCTTCGTGAAAAGGCCGATAACATTCGATTGTGTTATGCTGATATGCTACTTGGTTGGGGATTAGAATCGAAAATGCAAGAAATTTTGAAATATGTTGAAAGGCATTGAAAATTTCAATAAAAATTTGCAATTTTTTAAATCCGAACGCGGCGGCCAATGCTCTCATTATTTCTCATACGCATCCCGAAGATTCCAAAATAGCTAGAGGTTAAATCGGAGAATCAGAATGTTTGATTAGTGAATACTCGCGCAGTTACAGTGCGGAAGTAGTTAAATCTGAAACGGAAAGGTGGAAAGTTTTTCAAAACTCATGATCTTTCAGCACAATTGAGAAGAACGGGGGGGGGTGGAAAGATTAAATAAATGATCACACAAACTGATTTTTTACCAAGTTTGGAGGTGAAAATGATTTCGAGTTCGATCGGTTGCTAAATTTCGCCACGTTGCTAAGAATTCAAGATCGATACTGTGATAAGTTGTCCCTTCGGAAACTTTAGAAGTTTTACGTGGTTGGAGGCAAAGGCGCTCGTTCCGCCACGCCCAGTTTGGCAAAATTCGGATTCGGACAATTCTGCTTCGCAAGATAAATAGGGAGGTCGGGAAGTAATCAAAAACACAGTATTATTAAAAAATGAAGTTTACCAGTTTTTTTTTACTTGGCATCCTGTCCGTGTGGAGCATCGCACAGATCGACGCAGTGAGCAATGACACAAAATTGCATGTACTGATAACATCTGTCCCCTCATCCCAGTAATTATTTCACAATTTTTCCCCGATGTTACGCTAAACAACAATTCTACAAAGTTACGTCCCGTTAATCCCAATCACCAAAGAACTGTTAGATCGTGGACACGATGTTACTTGGGCATTGTAATTGACATACTTTCTCTGTTAACACCATTATATATTTATTTCATTATTTCCTAGAGAACAAAAGGTCTTTAAATCGCTGCCCCATTTCGAAGGTGCAAAACAACTTATACTCCCCGAACACATGATGGGAAAAATGAAGGGATTCACTTCATCGAAAATAAAATTCCCATTCATTCCCGAAGAGATCAAGTTGCTATTAGTTAACGTACATTTAAATCATGATTTATGTTCAAGTGATATTTTCGTTTGAAATTGAAATTTTTTTTTTGACCAGATTATTTTCCCTCTGATGAATTGGCCGAAAAATGAAATTTATACCTCTTTGCTTTCACAAATTCAGGCGATGGATAAAAAGGATCGACCTCATGTTATTATTGCAGAATCATTCGCTCTTTACGGGATCGATGTTGCTGGTGTTTAACAAAAAATCCTCCACGTTAGTTTTTTTCTAATTTGCACGTATTTATTTAAAGATAAGCTCGAAATTGAGAGTTGTCTCGTCACCATGCCCGGACCCGAGTTTTTCTCGTTCACTCGCATATCACCATATCCGAAATACATGCTTCCATACCCAGTACACGGAATGACTCTTTGGCAAACAACCTGGAATCTCGTTTATCAGCAATTTGGGCTTCTAGAAATCGGATTTGCCACGTGGGGAGCTGCTCGTTATCTCATAACTGGACTGCCGATGGTTTGGAACTGGAATCAGCTGGGAGAAAACCGGTTGGTACTGATGGCAACAGCACCAGGGTTTTCACCTACAGAGGGACTACCGGACAACTTTGTGTATTTTGGAGGCGAAGCCTTAAAAGGAGGAATGACGATGGGTTCCAGTCGACCAGGAATAGCTGATGGTTCGAGTGAAACTGATGCGATAGAGTGGTTGAACGAGAAACAGCAGAATCAGATCGATGTTGTCTACGTTGTGAGTTTAATTTATGATTTCCTTTTTCTTTTATATTTTAACGTGCTTGTAAGGCGTTTGGAACAGTGTTGACGCCAAGTGAAGAAAATGTCCGTGAAATTATAACGGGACTGATACACCCAAAACGGTATGTTGTCTGTTATTGGTTACTTTAGATGTATTTATTCTATTCATTTTTTTTCCCAGAGCAATCTTATGGTCTATTAAGAACCTGGAAATGGCCAAAAGTGTACTATCGAAACTCGACTTAGTTCCGGAATTGAAGTCAAACGTTCTCCTAAAAACGTGGGTTCTTCAGTTACAAGTGCTTTCGCACCCAGCAACAAAGGCGTTCTTTACTCACGGTGGATTCAACTCTGTGAAAGAAGGCGTGGCGAGTGGAAAACCAATCATCTGTCGGTCAATGTTTGGTGATCAGGCATTTAACTGTCTTCGAATGCAAGATCTTGGTGCGGCGGTTGCTCTAAATCGTTTCAAAGACGTGAAAGCTGCCGATGTCAAAGCCAGCATTGAACGGATCAACGCAAACTATGACCAATACCAAATAAGCAGTGTGAACGTTGGGAATATGTTCAGGTAAATAATTCATTTTCTTTTATTTTGCAATCATTTAAATTGGATCCTTATTTATCAAAGAAATACTGGAGGTGCAAAAACGGCGGTTGATGCAATCGAAAAATATTATCTTGGAAATGACTCGAAGAAATGGAAGCCGGAGACTTTCTCATTCTGGCAGAAACATGTTTTATCAATTTCCCTACTATTCGCAGCGGGCCAGTTTTACCTCAATTCCTTTATTTCAGGCGGAATTTATAAATTTGGAAAAAGATTAATATCACGGTTTGAAGGAAAAGTTAAATTGGAATAATTGTATGGTACTTTAAATTTGAATAAAAATAAATTCAAAAGAAAAGCTCTTCCACCTGAGTTGGGGATCGAACCCAAGATCTCTCCCTCCGGAGGGGAGCGGCTTAATCCACTTGCCCACACGGGCGCTATTATCAAGTTGAAAAATTTATATACATAAAAAAACCTCTAACTTTATTTAACTGCATTTAAATTTGTGGAATTGAAACGACGGAAAGCAAGAATTCCAACGAGTGAAAGCTGGTTAATTTGTATTGTTAAATTACTTTGCCAAAATCTATATAATAAAGCGAACATATAAGTATGCAAGATCCAAAAACATATCCAAAACTGAAAGTAAGTTGTCGCCTTGCATTTGAAGTATCTGTTTCATTCGAGGTAGCAGTTGGACTTGCAGTCAATTGGTTGCTAACTGATTTTGTCGTTGAAGCGTAAATAATTTGAGAAATTGGTGTCGTACTTGATACACTCGTAGAAGTTAAAGTCGTAGTCAAAGCAGTCGAACTAACAGCCGGCGCAATAACTGGTAAAACAACGGTACTATTAACCGTACTTCCTTGCAATGCCAACAGTAACGACTTGAACGCAGGTTTCGGATTATAATTCACATCAAACACCAACGCTTCTCCGTATCCAGGGAAAACTAAAGGAATCCAAGAGTACTTATCCGTGATTCCCCAAGTTTGCACGCCAACGCATTTTTCGTTTCCAACGCAAGATTTGGCGACGTCCGCATAGTTTGTTGCTTGGAGGTCAAGTGTTGTACTTGATATTGGAGTTTTTTCACGAATGTCAAGTTCAGTGTACGCGAATTCGAGGTTGAGGTTTGTTATTGATTTCATTGTGTTGCTTAGTGACCATGGGGAGACGTTACCGACTATTAAGTGTGCTTGAGAACCTACTCCGTCAATTGGTGTGTTTGATACTTGTAGATTTTTGATTAATTCCACGGTGGTTGTTAATTTATCAGAAAAGTAATCCAAATTGTAATCATTCCTTCATAAAAAAAAACCACAAATTAATATTTTGAAAAAATGGTCTGGATTAATATACAAACATACAAGTACAGTTTCACGTTTGGATCTGCATCTTTAGCTGCCTGAAATGCGATTCTAATGTACGCTGGTCCAATAACTCGATACCAAATAGAATCTCGATAGTTTCCATTATCATCGATGACTTCGTTTACTACATCCCACGCATAAATTTTACCCTTGTAATGAGAAACAACGTTGGATATGTGTGTTTTTAACACGTTGGTCAGGGTTTCGTTGGTCCACTGTCCGTTTGTTAACCATGATGGTAACTGCTGATGCCAAACCTTTCGAGAAAGAAAAACACCGTAAATAAAATTAATGATTGCGTTTGCAATTCATCCTTACAAGAGTATGACCTCGCACGAGCATGCCATTATTTCTTGCAAACGCAACAATCTGGTCAGCGACTGAAAAATCAAATACGCCTTGGACTGGTTCCACAGCATCAAACTTTAATGCATTTTCTGGTGTTATCAGATTGCATTGCGTTGTGATTAGTTGCGCATACTGTGGATCATCCGTTAAAGTATTTGGATTTCCCACGATACAGCCAAAGTATCTATTGGAGGTTGATGCTGCTGCTCGAAGGGTATCATGAGATGAAACAAAACGACTCGAAATGCAGAGGATTAGAATCAGCTTTGAGAAAAACTGTTTGCCGCCCACAAATAAAAGCATCTTTGAAACTCGGCCAATCAAATACGATTCATTTGTTGATACATTGTTTTTTTTTAGAATTCATTGTTATTACAAAATCATGAGCTGAAAAATAAAAAAGTCTTCCCAGATACCCATAAGCAAGAAAAGTTTTTTTCAAAATAATTAATACAAAAAGTTCTCAAGACTGCACCGACGGAGTAGGAGTAGCGGGTAAAAACCGTCCACCAGGACCCCGAGGTCTCGTCATCGCATGTTTATGTCTCGATTCATGAATATACCCTTTATCCTTCTTATCACCCTTTCCCTTCGTTCTCGCCGCTTCAAATTTAGCTCTAGCTTCTCGTCTCTTTATAATCCGATGATATTGCTTATGATTCACGTACATGGGCGCTTCGCGTGAACTTTCTTCGTCTTGCGTGGATGGGTCGGTGGGTGGTTCAGGGAGGACTTGTTGCGGTTGGTAATTGTTTTGTAGAGTTAGTGGTGGCATTGATGTGTTGATAGGGTAAGGTTGTTCTACGGCTGTAGCAATACTTTGATGCATTACAAATTCTGGGATTAAGCCTTGGGAAGAGAGCGGGACATTTTGAGGGGTTGGCGGAGAAGTATTAGCGAGTTGGGAGAGGGATTGAGAACGTTTTGCGGAATAGAACAGAATCTGTTGCTCGTGGGTGAGTTGCTGGGGATTTACTTGGCCAGGAAGCTGGAAGAAGTTGCGGATTTGCCGTTGGATGTCCTGGTTCGACATTCCGCCAATTTCTACTGTCAACTATTATACAAAATGGAGGACATCGCATTCAGGATTTTCAGATCCCAGGCTGTTTGTTCCATAGAAAGGTCGGTTTTTGTTTTCTTTATTGAATTGTATTCTATGTTTACTAACTACCGGAAACAGTCAGGTGCTTGCTCGGTCAAACGCAACGTCTAAACTTCTCCAAGATTATTCCTCCGTCTCTCCCCAGCCTTCACCCGCAACCCCTCTAACCTTACATCTCCCATCGTTTATTTCAATCGAAGCCTTACTCGAACTAAAATCTTATCTATATTCGGGAAAATATCCTCCTCCACCTTTAGAAGGTTCACCAACATACAGCCCACAACAACCAAATCTGTCCATCTCACCATCGCAACCCCTCGCTCTACTTGTTTCTAAACCTACAGTGCGACAATTATCACCCAATCAACTGACACAACTATACTTCCTCGCTTATCATTTTGAATTCACGGATTTACAAGCATATGTAGCGAAAGATATTAGGTCGACGTTGGATAAATACACAGCACAAGTAATTCTCCAAACCGCAAAACTCTGTAAAGAATTATTGATCAGCGAGAAGCCCGACTTGCAGAATGTAATGATTCAAGAAATTGCAAAGTTTGGGTTGGGTAATGTGAGCGTAATTGGGTGTGGATTTAGTCAAGCTAGTTTAGATGTTTTGATATCGTTGGCTCAACAGTGGATTACGTTGAATGGTGGGGAGAAGAGTGGTGCGAAGGATAGAGTAATTAAAGTTAGAGGATCGAAGAAGGCGAAAGCGGAGCAGCAACAATGAGCATTTCTTTTTTATTATACAGAGTAATATTTTTTAATTTTCTTTTTTTTTTTTTTTTACGATTCCATGCATGTGCTGTAATTTTAATTTCACCAAACAGAGTAATAGCCATTTATTTGAAATATGACTTTCAATAATCTTATAGCCAGCTTCAGATCGACGATACATGATCCATTCATAAATCTTGCTCTTGAAAATAGGTAGTCCTACTTGTGCTTATTGAATTCAGCACTGAATTACTTTCTCGACAACTTTCTTAATTTCAAAAACTTTTGCAGCCTGTTCAAGCTTCGAAAAGAGGAAAATATTCTATTTCTGTACAAGAATAGTCCCTGTGTAGTAATAGGAAGAAATCAGGTTCGTGAACAATGTCACGGTACCATAATTCCCATAATTCAGAACAAAATTCAAACGTAACAGAATCCGTGGAAAGAATGCGATCTGAAATTAATGAGAGAAAACAACATTCCACTGATACGAAGACAATCAGGTGGTGGAACAGTTTATCATGTACATATTACTTCCGAGACAAAACATTTCGGTTTGATGATTGAATAAAACGTTGCAGGATATGGGAAATAGCTGTTACTCGATAATTATTCCGAGAGTAAATTTTAATAGACAAAGGAATGCGAAATTAGTTTCACGAGCGTTACAGCAACTTGATATTCCGTCATTTGTGAATGAACGACACGATATTGTGGTTGAAAATAAAAAGATAAGTATAATTTTATTTGATAGAGGTTTTAAATCTTATTTTTGCATTGTTTTTGGATAATTTACGTTTCAGGATCGGCGTTTAAGTTGGTCACGGAACGGGCGTTGCATCATGGGACAATGTTGATCGATACTGATTTAGATTTACTTAATCGATACCTGAAAACAACAGCATGATCTTTTATTCTCAAACATCTCGGGTTTCCGTTTCTAATTCCTGTTTATATTTACTCCAATAGAGAAATATCACAGCTAAAGGTGTTGACTCTGTTCGATCCACCGTCACCCGACTACGCGAGTATTCATTTACCGTGACGCACTTAGACTTTTGCGACGCAGTCACTGAAGAATTCTATAAAGAATACAATCCATCGATACAACCACAACCACCAACCGAATTGGGAATATCGGATTTTGAGAATGATCCACTTGCACAAGAGTATTATAAGCAGTTGAAGAGTTGGGAGTGGACTTTTAGAGAGACGCCGGAGTTTACGGAGTGGATGGATAAAGAGTTTGAGTGGGGGAGTGTGAATTTGTTGGTGAAGGTGAGGAATGGAGTGTTTGAGATGGCGAGTTGTACGGTTGAGTGTGATGATGGAGATCTGAGCTCCATTGAGGAAGCTGTTAAGAGTTTAGTCGGTAATTTATGTTAATTAACAAATTTTTGGCGATGGATTTGGTTTTTACATTTGTGGATGGTTTCAGGGACGAGATTTATGCCGGATCAAGTCGAGAAGCAACTAGAATCAGCATTTTCGAATAATGATGAGGGAGTGCCAATAAAATTCAGAAAAATCAAGGAGTGGATCTCCAGTTTAATATAACCGAGCGACATGATCCAAAAAAAGATTTTTCGTTACACAATCCATCGCACAAACGCATGAACGATTTAGGTAACTTTTTCTATATTGATACCATTAATAACATCGGCTGTAATCTACGCTATTTCATTAGACTCATTACTCCAAGAACTGTCAACTGAGCCGGTGCGCCCAATTTCCACCGCACCTCCTCGAAAAAAGGAAAGTAATCCACGACAATCCGTCTCCAACCGAATTTCAACCAACCCCAACCGTCAATCGAAAAAACCTCCATTGACTAAACCTACCGCTCGTCCAACTCGCACACAAGCGTCTCGAGAACAATTAAAAATTTCC